TATATTATGTAAACAAAAACTTTTATTTTGGATGCGATTAATCGTGATTAATCGTTTGACAGCACTATTATTTTTATATTTATTTTTTATATTTTTATTTTAAATAATACAAATGCAGCCTTTGAGCATGAGCGACTTCTTTGTAAAGCTTGCAAAATCTTACCAACCCAAAACTTTTGAACAGTAGTGTATATTTATAAATTATCTCATTGGCTTAAGGGGTCCTATTATGCTTTTTCACTTTTTCAACTTTAGTTAGTCTGTAAGTGCAAAAGCACTTGATGGCCTGACATCCAAATTATCACTGACTGTGTTGTCTCCGCTCCACTTTACTCTAATTAAATATTCTATGTGTCTAACTGTGTCCGTTGGCAGCTCTCATCTTGGGAGAGAGGCCACTGAACTGCTACATGAACGAAAACAGGGTTTGGGGGAACTTGCAAAAATGACTTGTGATAGACCAGGAAATACAAAATAGCTAGGGAAATATGAGTATGTAGAGTAGACATTAAATATAGACATTTTCTGTTTTATAATAATCTCTCAAGGTCGCATACATGTGTGAAAACAATATGAGGGGGTCTAGGTGTCCCCCTGGTTGAGGTCTACAGTGCCCCCGCTCACACTGATGGTAGTGATACTAAAACCAATGATAAAATACATAACTTTAAACCTGACATCATCCTGTACAACAGAATCTCACTGACAAAGCAAGCAACGTGGGAGTCTTATTGACTGAACAGCTGAAGGACATTTGATTTATTGAGTTTTCAGGCTAGATGAATAAACAATAAAAATATGCTTCACAGCAATAACAAGAGGACAATACAATGGGGCCATTCAATTCAATTTGAACATTCAGGGTAAACAGTGATTAGAAGCACTTATCAGCCTCTGAGAGGTCAAACTGATTGCATATATAATCCATAAAGTCTGTTTTATTATAGTATCTGTACTCGTTTACTACTTAAACATGATGATATTTTAATTACAGGCTGAATTCAAAGCTTGTGACAACTTAACCCTTTGTTTACTATACAGAATTTAGTTTGAGAGGGGAAGTTTAGATCCGAGTCTCCTGTGAATGTGGTTACACTAAAATATTCATGATGAAATATGCCGGGAAAGGACATCAAAAGATTTCACGGACAAGACTAAAAAACATGCTTTTAATGACATTTGATGGTTTAATGACAAGTTGGATGGCAAAGATCAAGGAGAGATGGAAAGATATCTATCTTTAGCTTTAGCTGGTGTATGTGGTGATGGTGGGGTGAGACAGATTGAGTGAGTGAGAGGTGTCACTCCACCAGACCCACCTGATACTGCTCATGCTTCCGGTCTCAGATCCCAGCTTGCATCTCTCCAGCTGAGTGGCAACAATCTGCCTCTCAGCCTCCAACTCTCTCGTCAGTCGCTCAAATTGCAGCTCCTGCAAACATAAAGCAGACAGAGCGTATGTGTAAAGCCCTAAAGGAATTATGGAATTGATTCTGTCTATAACATGTACCGCACATGCACTTACACATGCTCAAGTAACTACTACACAGAGCATGTGTGTGTGTGTGTGTGTGTGTGTGTGTGTGTGTGTGCGTGGGATGCAGAGACACTGTGAGGCTCTGCAGCCACTCAGGGCTTTTCTTTACATATTGATAAAATGCACTTGCATTTTCTTTCTTTAAAAATGCTGGCATATAAATCTAGTCTCCGGTCAATAACTTTATTAGGAACTGCAATTTTAAACATGGTGATGGTCAAACTGTAAGAATGACTGTCAGATCCTTGCTTGCGCACAAACCATCTATTAAAGCAAACATCTGTCACAACTTGTGTGTTTTAAGACATTTATCTTTCATTTTTCTTCTCCAGAAATCTATATGGCAAAATATATGTGGAAGGCTACTTGTAGTAAAGCACCAAAATAAATATATTATAAACAAAATCTTGATGTGTCATCGTTTGTGAGAGGTACAGTTTTACAGAAAGCTTTTTTATGATGCTGCAAAGAGAAAACAGGTAATAGTTATTTAATCATTTGTTATTATATTTGACCATAAAGCTGTACTTTGCATAATTTTTGACAAAACAATAATAATAATAATAATAATAATATACACTACTGTTCAAAAAGTTGGGATTCCTATGATTTTTAAAAGAAATCCTGTTCCACTCACCAAGGCTTTATTTATTTGACCAAAAATACAGTAATACTATGAAATATTATTACAATTGAATTTTTCAGATTTTTCTATTTTAGTATATTTTAAAATGTAATGTATTTCTGTGATGGCAGAGCTGAATTCTCAGCATCATTATTGCAGTCTTCAGTGTCACATGATCTTTCAGAAATCATTCTAACATGCTGATTTGGTGCTCAAGAAACATTTCTTAATATTATTTATCAATGTTGAAAACAGCTGTGCTGCGGAAAGTTTTTTGTGGAAAACATGATACATTTTTTAGGATTCTTTGATGAATAAAAAAAATCTAAATCATTTTTTGAAATAGAAATCTTTTGTAACATTATAAATGTCTTTACTGGCACCTTTTTCAATTTAATCCTTACTCGCTGAATAAAAGTTTTAGTATCTTACTGACCCCAAACTTTTAAACAGTGGTGATATACTTAATTTTGGGCACTGGCCATAATGAATCAGCTGCAAAGTACAATAATTAAAAAATTAAAGAGTACATTCTACAAGACATCCAAAGGCATTATTCTGAACTTTGACAGTCACTGGACCATTCCAGCACTACACACCCCTCTCTTAATTAGATATGCACCGCTTAACATTTAATGACAAACTTGTCGATGCCAAATCAGAGATAAAATCCCAGAGGTCCTCTTTAAAGTAATCACTGTGAAAATCCAGTCAGAAACACTGCACTATGTGCCTGCGCCCGGGGCTACGACAGTCAATGTGATGTCCCCACTTCTTTTGTGACAAGGCTGAAATGAGTTCACTCAGCCACAAGGTCAAAGTCTCTCTTCCCAGAGCGGTTAATGCTAAGAGGGCTCCAGAATACATCACCTGCTATTTTGGGCACAAACCCAGATGAAGGCTACAAAAATACCCATTCAGAGTGTTGAAGAGAGCTCTATGGACCATGACGACTAAAGAGGCGCTAACTGCAGCATTCAAACACTTTTCAATAATCATTATACACGTCTAGGGTCTCAATTAATTAATTTACGGCAGACGCATTCCGATGCAATTGCAACAAACAGGCATGTTGCTTAGCTCTGCGACTGAAAAGGCATCGGCAATTACGATACAAACAAGCATCATTTCTGACCTTTCTTATTTCACATCAACAAATTCAAGATGGAGCCGCAAACAGAGAACAACAACTGATTAGACTCTAACAATCTAACCGTCAACAACAACAAAACTACTCCAGCTTCCAGTCCCGCAATAAAACACCTGTTGCCTTCACAAATAAAATAACAGCGCTCTTACCGGCACATGTACCATACTCCAGAGGCCGTCTGTGCTGAGAAAAATCTGTGTCTGTGCATCACTATCCCACTAGACTGCGTTCATCTCCGCTTATCAGGAGAGTAGAGTCATTAGAGAAAGTACAAGAGTGGTAGTGACTGCCTTCCAGCGGGAAAGCAAAAAGTGGAGTGCAGTCAGGCACAAAGGTCGTCATGGCAACAGTGAATTTAGAGCCCCTTTGGCATTATTTATGCAACATTGCATCACAAAGGGTCCCTCCCACCGGCCAGCCAGCCAAATACCACCGCCCTCCAGTCACTCTTCCGCCTCCTCCTAAACTCTTCCCCTCTTTCTGACGCCATCTGTGCTCCACTCTGAAGAGGAAGGGGGGGGTCTCGTTGAAAGGATCGCAGAGCGGCAGAGAGAAAGAGGTGTTTTTTTTGCCGGTCCAGGCAGCAGCTGTGAAAAAAAGCACTGTGCGATGCTAAGCTTTGTGCTTCCTCTAGGGATCCTAACAGTCTGTTCTGCCTCAGTAGCCTGCAATGGACAGGTTCCCTGAGTGGGGAGTAGCCTCCACTTGTCACAAAAGTTGGTTAAATATAGCAGTCTGCACAGACAAAAAGCACTCGGCTAGGACAGCAGACATGTCACCTGGACCAAAAATGGTGATTCTTTAACATTCAAAGCATTGTTTTTTCTGCCCCTACACTACACTGTAAAAATGATTTTTCAAAGATAAAACATTTCAGATTATTTCAGATTGTCTTATAAGTAGGGTTGTCAAATCGATTAATCACGATTAATCGCACCCAAAATTAAAGTTTGTGTGTACAAAATAATTTATATGTGTACAAAGTACTGTATATATTTATGTGTATATATAAATACACAAACATACACGTACATATTTAAGAAACATTTAGCACACACAAATATTATGTAAACCAACTTTTAATTTGGTTGCGATTAATCAATTCGACAGCCCTATACTTCGCTTTTTACTTTCACTCTTTCTACTTTATCTAATTCAATGTGTTACTTGCCATTTTTGTGCAATTTCCTATTTTTTTTTTCTTAGTCTGAGTTTCTGAGAGATTCTTTTAATCTATATAATGTGATAAAAACTCTAAAAAAAACAAAATAAAAAAAAAGCGTTTTATATGGCCAGGATTGCGACAAGAGTGCCAAACAGGAATGTATTCCCATTATCTTACATAATAACTCCTGAAAAGGCCGTTAAACCTATTTGTTTAGAAAATAAATAGCCAGGGGACTGAGAAATTGATTTGACTGCTTCAAAAGCTGAATGTGGTCTTCTGGCCTAAATGCCTAATTCTGCCCTGTGGACAAAGACTGACATTTAAGTTTCTTCATTGGTCCATTTGATTGCAAAATGTCACTTGGGGTTCGCCTCACGAGTTCCTTTAAGGATTTAACCCAATTTCTATAATTTCATGGAGTTAAATGAGTCCAGAGCCACTCCACAGCCTGACCACACAGACTGAGAACCATACAAAACAGTGTTAAACAGACAGGAATGACTCAGAATCAGATGAACTCATTTGCTCTGTAAAATGTAAAGGGAAGAGTACACATATTCCTGGTTGAAAATTACAGCAGAAATGAGGCCATCCAAAGGACCTCAGGATCAATTTCAACTTGAACAGCCTTTTTGTTGATAATCTGGTCAAAACAGCCTCAACTTTTGTGGATACTGTAAGTAATTAAAAGAACTGCTTCATTTGATTGAATATGTGAAACCTCTTACATGATTAAGAAAAATCTAAACGACTTCACTTCTGGCTAAAGCAAATCACTCCTATCGGACAAAGATATAATGAGCTGATTAACAAGCTTTCCCTAAAATAAAAAAGCCTTAAAATGCAGAGTGTGAATTAAAAGGAAAGAAATATTTGGCCTTAGCTGTACTACCCCTTACAAACACTGGAACTTTCCCCAAAGAATCCTTGCCATGCTCATAATAAAACTTTATATGCCAGAGGCTTTTTTATGAATAATTAATGTGTCATTTTAAAAACACTAAGATAAATTTCCTTAATTAACACCAAATGAAAGGGACAAAAAAGGTGAGCTTTAACAACAGATCTTCTGAAAATTCTGAAAAGAACACCTGTACTTTATACATTAATAAGACTACTACAATCACTACGTCAACATAATTTAAGAAAGTGACACTCAAAGGCAAATAATAAAAGAGGGTTCATTATACAGAAAAAGCGACATTTTACTGCGAATACAGTAACTGTGTATGTCCAGGTTGTTAAACATGAGATCATCGCATGTGATTCTGTTTAGCACAAGTGATACAGGAAAATTTTTATGGGAGAAAGTCGTACACAGGACAGACTGTGTTCTGCTTGCACATGCAACCTTGAAAACTGCACACAAAGCACACATACAAGAGACCAGGACATTTTGCCAGACATTTTGGTACATTGTATTTATACATGGCAGAGCGGAGATGGTTTTTCAGTGCTGCAGAGCATTCTTTGTCATCAAAATCTACACAGATTTTAGATCTGAAGTTCAGTTTATTCTGTGAATTTTGAATTTTGCAGAGGAATTTAATGACCTCTGACTACTAAATGCCTCCAAAATGGGAGATTGCCATCTAGTGGAGGAGAACAAAAAAAAAACGATGGTGATTTTTCATAATATGTGCGAGTAGACAAGCAGTGGCAAAATGATAAACCTTTATTTTCAGTGTATTTTGAAAAGGACACCAGGCCTGCTGCGCTTGATTACAGTCTTTTAATCAGAGATACTTAATGTATCTGTAATAAAAAAAAAGCTAGGAGGAAAGATTAAGACTAAGAAAATTCCTGAAAAAAAAAAACCACACAGTGTCATACTGAAACACAGTGAGATGTGGTTTATGCTTACAGACCCCAGTAAATCATCACAATATGAGTTTCAGTTAATGATTTCAGTTAGTTTTGAGGTCTTATTTTTCCTGTTCCTAAAGGTTGGCAAAATACATGTAAAATATAAACATTTTCTTTTTCAGGAATTGGACCAAAAATAACGAAGACTCATCTTGTACACATTTTTGTCCACTAAAATGCACTCTATAGTGAGAATGCCCTGCCTGCTAACACAACCTGACTAGCAGTAGCAAGCAAGATCAATAATATTTGGAGAAAGCTAGTTATTAGCAATTCCATTGAACTCATTGTCTAAATATATGTAAAATAAATGTACAGTATTTAGTCACTATACGCAACTAATTTTGAATGTCCATCGATGAAGAATGAGGTTTTTTAGAGCCAAATGGTGTAGTTACAGCATTTACCAGCAGGGGCTAAAATAGCATCCCTTGATAGCAAGTAGCAAATCATGGTTCATGGCTGTGACATACACTACATTTCGAAACTTTGGTGTCAGTAAGATGACCATTTTTGAAAATAAATAAATAAATACTTTAATTCAGCAAGCATTAAATGGATCAAATGTGAAGACATTAAAGAAAGTAAATACATTAATAATGTTACAACAGATTTCTATATTTTTTTAAAGTATGTTCTTTTGAAATTTCAGTTTAACAAAAAATCATGAAATTCAATGTGTGCAGTTTCCATAATAATATTAAGCAGCACAACTGTTCAACAATGATAATAATAAAAATGTGCACTATAAATTAGCACCAAATTAACATATTAGAATGACCTCTAAAGGATCATGTAACACTGCAGACTGGAGTTATATGACTGCTAAAAATAAATGACATTATAAAATATATGAAAATAGAAAAAAAATAAAACAAATTATAAAATAAACTGAAAATAAAAAATCTAAATATTACTGTTTTTACTGTATTGATCATAAATGTAGCCCTGGTGAGACAGGAGACATTCAAAATCCAAACCCAAACTTGTGAACGATAGTGTAACTAAAGCTCTTCGATATGTCCCACCCAATCATCCTGTTTCAACAGGAAGTACACCAACTCAGGAAAGAAAATTACACCATTTTACATGTTTTTTGAACTCCTCTCAGAGAGAAACACTGTACGTGACTCTGTCCACCCTCCAGTGAAAAGCATCAAAAAAAGCTGGCAGACAGTTTTTCTCTCTCTGATAGGAGAGCTATTAGACTGGCCCACAGCAGCCTATGGCTGTGGCCTACTTTAACATTCACCGTGTAGATTTCCAACCCTAAGAGCATGTCGCTTTTTTTCTGTCCCATGTTTAAAAGCAGGAGTGTGAGCTAAACGCTAGCAGGAAGCGAAGGGCTTGTCACGATCCATTTTTATCTACTCATGCTCTTGACTCAAAAATGGCCTCCCGCCAAGACAGACATATATATATATATATATATATATAAGGGCAAAGTAAAAGTAAGAAATACTGTACATTATCACACACTAAATTCTGACATATGCAATAATCTATAATGCATTTCGTAAATGACTTTTTATGACAGGAAGTCATAAGCAATTACAATCACCTGTCATTATTCCTAACAGATCAAGCCAGTTTATCAAAAGGTTGCGCCAACGTCTGGGAAGCTGTCCACCTGCTGGCAAGCAGGTGACCAATCTTATTATAGATAGGATGCGTCGCAGTGACTAGCATAGCATGGAGACCTGATTGCAACATGGAGTGTCAAATATTTCACATTTCTTACACCACGCAGCCCCAAAACCTACATCCATTCCTCCCACTCGTCCGCAAAACCATGTGACACTGAGGCGTAACGGCGCATTTGCAGTGTGTTGACCATCAAAAACCATTTGTATCTGTGAATTTAGACACCAGGCGCTAAATGAAACCAGCAGCACGAGATGATGGAAATGACTCAAGCAGAAACCCACCAAACCTTGCGGCTCCTTAACCCAGATGGCATATGCAGTTCATCTGAGGACTGGTATGGTTCTGTGTAATTACTGTTTACAGCATATAAAGATTTAGAGAGATTCTAATTAAACTGTTGGAAAATGAATGTTTCCGTGTGAGTGTGGGGGGAATCATAACCTTCTATTAGAGACAGTCTGTAAGAATGAAGAACTTTACCGTAGTTTGACATGAAGTACCCACCTGTTCTTTAACAGAGGCCAAGATGGCAGAGGTGGTCTCCGTCTCGGATCCATCTCCGTTTGAGGCGTTCAGTACCGGGCTCAACATGCTGGAGTTCTCTGTGTCAGAGAGATGGTCTGGTACTGGCATTACTTCTGTGAACCAAACAATAGAACCGACAGTTATTCAAAATGAACTATGCAAGGTTTTTGTCATGTTTCAGAGTACTGGAGCAATCAGTTGAAACAAATCCTTTACAGTGACAGACTATCGGATAAAATGACATAAAAAATCATGGTTTGGCACTTTTCAGATGTAATAATACTAATCAAAGTGCTTCATCAACATTTTCAATTGTTTGTCGTGATGTAATAATTGTTAGACATAATATTTAATTAACCGTCTCTTGTTTCTTTCAGTCTCTCTCTCGTCTTTGACCTACTTTTTTCTCCTCATCTCTCGAGGTTTGTGATTCCAAACACGATTCTCAGCTTGTCGCAATCATGCTTTGATTTGTGTACATCAGCTTCAGAAAAGACTTTGAAAACCCCATGAAACAAAATTTTATAAACTAAAAGTTTTGTGGCTTTTAGTTAATGTGCGAGACCCACTATAGTACGCTAATGTATTAATAAACGTTTACAAATTTCACTTTTAGCAAATATACACATACATTACCATTCAAAAGTTGGTAAGATTTTTATTTTATTTTTTTTTTAAGTCTCAAAAACTTTTTTTAAAAAGGATGCCTTTATTTGATTGAAAATGAAGTAAAAACAGTAATATTGTGAAATTTTCCCAATTAAATACATTTTCCTGTAATTTATTCCTGTGGTAGCAAAGCTGAATTTTTAGCAGCTTTACAGTGTCACATGATCCTTCAGATATCATTCTAATATGCTGATTTGGTGCTCAAGAAACATTTCTTCTTATTATCATCAATGTTTAAAAAGTGGAAACCATGACACAGGATTTTTCAGGATTCTTTGATGAATTTTTTTAGATTTTTTTTTTGTGTGTTTACTGTCACTTTTGATCAGTTTAATGATTCATTGAGAACAAAATTGCCCCAAATGTTATAACTGTAGCATATATGCATATAAAAGCACAGCCTTTCTCTTGCAGGACATTTAAGACCACCTGCAACCAACTAGCAAGCAGTGATGTAACTAAAGTCTAATAGCTATAAAAAAAAACAACAACAACAAAACAGGGACAAGTCCATCAATATGTTTGGCTCAAACGTTTTGTTTTAAATACATCAAGTGATTTTGTGGGTTTTTAAAACCTTGGATTTCGAGTAATGAAATCCCACTATAATGCTCTGGTCCCCTCCGGTCACTCACTTCACCCTCAGCTTCCTCCTTGACAACTGCACTCCCTCTTCAAAATCAACCACACAAATTTAAAGCTTTCCCAGAGAACATTGTGCACACAGCAGGAGCAGACAGAAAATGGCTGCTCACGTGTGAATGTGTACCTATGAGCACCAGCACACAGCCTTTTTACACAACCACATCAGGCACAACTGTGAACACATCTGCTCTGTATGGAAGAGAGAGCACTCAATCAGAAAAACCTGAACAGTACGATCTGTGAAAACAAATGCCAGTCATAGGTGAAATAGGAAAAGTATTGATAAATGCTCAATTTATTTATCAGATTTGGTGACCTGATGCAGATGCTTTTCATTTCTAGGTCAAACCGATGACTTACTACCAGTGAGATCATGCAAAACAGACCAGAACATCAACAAATGCCAGTCCCAGCTGCTGGTGTTGGTGTGTGTGGGTTCAGATGGATTACATTTTTTGACAATTATCTTAGTCATCCATCTGCCTCTCATTAATAGTATCCTGATATCAAAAATAAATAAAAATAAATAAAAAACACAAAATGTCACTCCATGGATGGCCGGAAGACCTGTGTTGCATGGCAGAGCTGTGATGTAATAAAATGGAAAAAGAAAAACAATGCTTTTATGCCTTGCAATCGCACAAACATTTGGTCTGTCACATTTTTTACATTGTGTTGCAAATTATTAAGCATTACTTATAATGGGCTGAATGTTGCATATCAACACTGGTTTTGCACGGCGTGCTATCCTTTTCAAACTTGGTCTGTGAATTGTTTACCTTTACTAAAAGTTGGTTATGATTTCATAACTGTCAATGAGTTAAATTATAGCCAATTTTGGCTATTATTACAAATAAAAACCAAGTAATTCTTGTTTGTTTTTGGAAATATAAAATTGTAATAAATAGGATCATGCGACACTGAAGACTAGAGTAATGGCTGGTTATAAATTGAGCTTTGACATCAAAGGAATAAACTACATTTTAAAATATATTAAAATAGAAAACAGTTATTTAAAATTGCAATAGTATTTCACAATATTACTGTTGTTACTGTATTTTATGATCCTTAAAAAACGACCTCAAACTTTTTAAAAGTAGTGTGTATAAAATACACTGCAGTCCCAGCAATTTTGCCATGGGAAATTCTCTGCATACAATAATCACTAAACAGAATCTGAATGTTCAATATTCCAAGTATACACCACTGACTTGCCCTGCCAACATTTTCAAAGAAAAAAGTGAATATCTCCTTTTATGTCATTATACAGAATAATCATGTAATATTCATGCAATTTTGATCATAATCAGCTTGCATACAAGGCATATATCATTAAAATCAAGCACACTGTTGACTTTCTTTGAAGTGGAGTTTTTTCTTGGAATATTGAAAATTTACATTTTATTCTTAATAAAAATAACTTTTTTAGAACTTCTCATAACAAAACATACAAAGGCTTGCTGGAACAGGATTGTGCACTAAGGCAGAAGCCTTGGCTGTGCCTTATAAGCACAATACATCAACTAGGGGAGTTATAGGATGCATTAATCTAAATGAACATGTAAAATATAATGAGTACTCTGATTTCTGACTCACAATCATATTACACATCAAAAGGAAATGGCAAAACTCTGTCTTAACATACTGAATAGACCATACAGAAGCTAACTGGCATAACACGCTGTGTGTTTAGCGGAAAAAGGAAGAAAAAGAAAAGGCATTACTTAGAAATAAGTAAAAAGGCCTAATTGTATGGAGTCACATGATCGCTACAATCACTCCAAGGCCGCAGTTACCTTGGAAACAGACCTGCACTGCTCAGTGAATATTTACTGTAATTTTACTAAAACGCCTCACACAATGGCCCCTGACTCTACCTGTCCGATCGGCTCAAGACGGTATACAGGAGAGTCCCGTAACACAACCTCAATTTCATTGTCAAACACTAAACAAATTGAACAGTGGAAGAGCCAGAGCCATTGTTGCCAACAAGCGGTTATATCCCATTTCATTTCCTCAGTGGCGCTTTTTCATTTAAAGTGACAAAAGCTACATTTTTGGAATAACGTACTTGATTGTGCTTCCCCACTGACTTTTGTCTGAAACCACTGAGGTGAATGTAGACATTTTAAGCCTTTCCATTGGCGTAGCTGCAGATATCAAATAGCTGAAAAGGAGAAATTGACATAAATTGATCAAATTTGTGAAATATTCATAATTAATGTCACTGAAAGCTCTACAACAAAGCAGAAGCTCTCTATCTGGGCTCAGCCACACATGTCTGAATGCCTAATTTGTCTATGACATCATGCTTGAGCCAGCTAACAGGCTCCCGTTTCCATAGAGATATCAATCCATTATGACAGTCTCTCACCAAGAAGGCAACCGTGAGGCTTACAGTTGATCATATCAGTGATGCGGCACACGGCAACTAATTTTTCTCAAGATGCTTTGCGCTGATGATTCAAGGTGGTTTTGGGCGGCAAACCACTAGGCTGATATTTCTAATTGGATCTGCATTAACTTACAGTTCTGATGAAAATCATACAAAAAAAAAAACTTCAAGCATTGGTTATGCAGATTTTTCTTTCATTGTGAGTATGTGTTTGCTGAATGTGTAGGTTCATATACGATGATGTAAGCGATTGCACCCAATGGAATTACTGCATCGTCCATCCTTAGGGATTATATAGGCTACAACTCATAGCAACAATCTCTACAAAAACAGACCCCAGAAATCAGGACAAGAGAACCTCAGTCCCAACATCTGATCAAATTTTAAGTAACCAAATTTGCTTTACGCTTTACACTATGCAATCTCACAACCTGTTAATCTTGTTTTCTGCATTAAACACCTCTTTCAAGACATCTGCCCTGCTTTTGCATTTTCATCCCCATTATATCCCATTAAGACAATGGCCATATGCTTTTGACAACGGTTTACTCCCCTCGGACGTTCCCCGGTTAGTTTTTTCCGCAGGATTCAGAAGACTTCCTCCCAAGATCTGATCACCCAGTGAAACACCAGATGTTCCAGAAAAACGGATCTACCTACACCCAGAGGACATGAAGGTGTTCGACTGATGCTGCCATTGGCAGGAATCATGGCTGCAATCCCAGATTAGTCATGTGATCCCGCAGGATACTAAAGTATCGAAATGCACAAACAAAAGGCACATATTGTGTTTACAGTCACACCCACATTCACACACTTTTACACACCCAACAGTATTTTCAGTGCAAAATCAGACTTGATTGGCTACTAGAATTAATGAGACAGAGAAATGAGGGCGATACATTAAAAACTAGCATTTGGAATATAAATATTTATCATGTGATATCATTAAAACAAATTTCTAATTATTACAAAGTATATTAGTTATATAACTTGCATGCCAGGGGGATGGGAAGATGAAGGAAAACAAATATTTTTACAGCTTCATTAATCATGCAGACATTAATCAGTCCTTTGTATTCTGACTGCGGACAGATTTGTTTATTTATTGTCTCGACACACGACTGACAACGTTAGGAATGAAACAGCAATACAATTCAGAGCACACTGCAAGATTAAAATGTTCAATAAGGTCTTAAAGGAAACGAATCTCTTTTTCTGTAAGGCTGGCACACTGGGAGATGACGTTATGCGCTCCTGCACAAAGCACCGAAATGGGACTGGAGATAATGTGTCTTTTATATTGCAATCGGTATATTAATTTAACAGTGTCTTTGCTGTACCTGTAAACATTTCTAGTGGACTAGAATTGCATGATGCATGTATTATATAAGTCATTTCAAA